TGCTGGCAGAAGGGAACTACCACCAGCATGGAGATCTCACAATGAAAACACCTCCAAGAACTCAGTGCTTAAGGTGAATCCTCAACAGGATCGACATTATTGTAGAGAATTTGGAAGTGATCATCCTCAGCTGTTCTTAAAGTAAAATAAACTACTGGAAAAATGAACAAATTCAAGGGAAAAAAAAAAAAAAGTAAAAATTTTACTTTCACTCCATTCCATCGTGCCCCCAGGACGATGTGTAAATGTTCCACAAACAATAACAAACACCAAAGGTGGTTTTGGTCACTAAACTGCCCAAGTGAAATGAAGAAAACCAGCAGCTCACTAAAAGCATATAAGGAATAAATAAGAACCTGTGCAACGCTCTGTTTTTCTTGTTTCAACTCCCTACGAGAAGTTCTTTCACTGCACACGTTTAGTCCTTACGGGCTCTCGGAACCACACGATTATAACGGAGACCAAGCATCGCTTCCCTCGAGTCCGGACTGAGCGTCCCGAGAGGCCCCGGTACACAACAAGCACGGCAGAACAGCACCGGCAGCAGCCCCGCACTAACGGGACCGGCCACGCCAGAATTTTGGGCACAAACGCTCTATTTCCTCCCATCTAACAGCAATACTGTAATTCCAGAGGAGCATCCCAAAGTGCAGCGGCTGTCCGGCATGGCCCCGGTGCCACATCCCGCTGGACACACTCCAAGGGCTGCGGGGAGTTTCACTTTGTTGCGGCCCAGCTTTGTTCTGTCTGGACGCTGTTTGGAAACGAACCCGCGTGGAGAGGCGGGGAGCGAGCAGCAGCATCGCGAGGAAAATGGAAGGCAGGGCAGGGAGAAGGGAGAAGGCAAAGCGGAGGAAAGGAGCGGGCCGGGCTCGCCCCCTTCCTTCCCCTCCCCCGGCTGCGCGGGGACCCCCGCGCCCGCGGCCTAGCGAGCCCGCCAAAGCCTGCGCGAGCCCCCGCTCCGCCCCCACTCACCGGGTGTCGTCGGCCACGTTTCGCACGAAGAGCGAGGTGTTGGGGGGCCGCAGGTAGCGGGACATGTCGGCAGCGCCGGGGCGGACGGCAGGAAGGAGAGGAGGGAAGGAAGGAAGGAGGGAGGGAAGGAGCGAGCGCGGCCCGGGCGCGGCGGGAGCGGCTGAGGCGACCCTGGGGGAGCTGCACCGCCCGCCCGCGCGCCGCCTCTCGCGAGACTTCCCGGGGGGGCTTCCGGCGAGAGCGAAACGCGGCGCCAAAATCCTGCCCCGCTCCGGCAGCGCGCATGCGCTCCGGCCCCGCGCGGGAGCTCGCGGGTCCGCCGGCGCGCGCCGCGCATGCGCGCTGCTCCCCCTCTCCCTCCCCTCTCGCTTTTCCCGCCGAAAGAGCGGGAAGGGGGAGCGCGCGCGGGGCAAGATGGCGGCGGCGCCCCCGTCGTGAGGGGAGAGCGCGGCCCGGCCTTGTGCGGCCGCCTCACGGCGCCGTGGCTCCCTCCTGTGCAGCCAGCTGACACCGCCTCGGGCTCTAACGCCCTTTCTGAGGCTCAAGGGATCGCTGTCCTGTGGCATTGCTGTTGCAAAATGTGGAGTATGTATAAGTTCTGTTAAGAAAAGGTGTTCTTTGATGTTTGAGGTTTTCATGCCTTCTAGCCTAATCAACAAGAAGGCAGATGTAACCCGTGAAACGGCAGGCAACGAGCTCTAAGCGATGTGCCTGTGTTAGAATAACAGATTGGTAGAACTGCCTTGTTAAAGTTGAGGGCTGGACATGCTTCGATGATCTCAGACCTAGGGGGAGGTTAACAAAGCTTGAGAAAAAAGGATGCCCGCTGATAGAGGACACAAAGAATACAGAATTTATGGGCCATCTGGCAAGAACTCTGAAGATAAGGAAGAAACTAATAAACCCAACTTAGCAACCATGCTGAAATGATCTCCAGCTGGGTAAAATGTAATTTTACATCTGCAGGGGCAGGTCATGACCATCAACCCACAGACCACTGGCCCAAAAGGAGAGAACGGGACTAATTAGCATGAGAAGCCACAGAATAATTAACCAACAGAAGATAGAATACTATTTCAGAACTATGTGACCTGTAGCCAAGGCACACTAATTCCTTTGTTTGCTAAAATGTGTAAATAGTAATAAATTTTGATCATCGGTGAGCTCGATTTGTGAAATCCCACAGGTCCCCAGCTGTGCAACACTGAAATAAATGACCAGTGTCTCTCTGGAGTGTGTAACTATTGTTGCACACGGAGTAATTAATGCAATTTTTATGGAGAACACCGTTACCCACTGCCCTGCTGAGCCCCAGGAGTTTTCACCAGGCTGTTTGCACAGGACCAGCCCTTTCCATTTAAGTTGTTTGTGTGATGAAAACAATCCAGTTGCTGGGTGGAGAGATTATTTCTCACCACGCTCATGTGTGACTTACATAAAGGTGGATAAAAGGCACATCTGACCCCACAGTCACAGGGTTTGGTGAAGAGTTCAGTGAAAAGTATCTTCATTTTCATGTGAGGGATTTTCAGCAAACTCCTGCAGGGACAGAAAGACTTGGAGCTGATGCAGCCCTGGTGTCTGCCACCAGTGTATTTTCATCTTTATTTTTAATATTCATGAATGAAAACTGGTGGGTGGACATTGCTGTTCATATCTTGGCAATCTCACATTAAGAAGTGCCTGATTTTTACAGGTTTTGAATGACAGATGATTCAAGTTTTAATGGCAGGTGAAGTTCAGTCACTAACACAGGAGATGTGCAGACATATACACCTCCAAAACAAGGAATTGATGTGCTTGTATGTTCATGGTCTGTGTGCAGGACTCAACAGAGAAGGGAAGAGGATCTCTGACTACGTTTTTTGCATTAAATATTTACAGTTAGCATTTTTCTGTATGCAAGCAGCAGGTCGAGTTGTTACCTTGTGCAATATAAACACAGATCTGCTCACACAAATCATTGAAAGAACCTAAAAATCAAGCCAAGAGCGCACATCAGAGACTGGAGTTGTGGTGGGAGTGCTTGGCACAGAGCAAAAAAGAAAAAAAAAAAATTACAGACATTCTGAAAACAATTAATTTACCAGAGAGTGGACTTTGATGGATAGGAATCCATGCTGCCAGGATTACCTTGTCAGAGCTTGTCAGATTGGGAATCAAAACTTTGAACAAGATCCAAGTTCAATTATAAATACTCCAGTGGAGTCCTTCACAGAAAAATGCACAGAAAAATTGTTTTTGTGGAATAGTGAATCCAGAGCTGCCATCCCAGGCTCTTCTGCCATTGAGGAATGTTCATTCCTTTGGGCCATGGGACACAGATCTCAGTCTGATCAAAATCCTTCAGGTTTTGACTGCTTCACATAAGGACCTGCACTGAATATTCCACCCAAGTCTGGGGTGCCCTGTGGCAGAAGGACATTGCCAGAAGGATGGGAAAGATTGGCACCATTGCTGGAGAAATGAAGTCATTGCAGTTGTGAAGAAAGCCAGGTGAAGTGTTCTTTTATTTTTTTAGAATTTTAGCCATTAGAATTACTTGGCCTGAGTTGAAGTTCTAAATAAGGTCATTGTGCTTTTAGTGTGTGGTATCTCCAACAATCCTTTTGTAGCAGGTTTGAAATGAGTAATGGAGGATCTCTGCCTTGGTTTAGAAATAAACCTGAAGTGTCTTGCATGTTCCATGCTCCAGTTTGCAGGCACAGCCTCTGATCCTTGCAGACCTGCAGCATTCTGTGAATTTCCTGCTGGAAAACCACAGCGTGTGTTTGGTTTGGTTTGGTTTCAGGGTGTGTTTGCAGCAGTTCCCCAGCAACTCCCAGAGAGAAGGGTGCTGAGTTCTTGCATGGCTTTTTGCAGCACCAGTGCTTTAAAGCAGCTTTAAAGCACCCCCCCCCCCTCCTCCTCCTCCTCCCTGGGTTTTACCAGCCCCGGTTTCTGTGCTGCTGATCTTATTTCTGTGTAACTCACATGGAATTGAATTCTGGCTGCAGGGCTGTGCTTGGCATTGGAGCTGCCTGGGAAGCAGAATGAGCACAATGATCCTTTATGCCAGTGAAACTCCCCCTGAGAGCAGCCTCATCCCAGGATAAGAATACACTTCCCAAAGTGCTCGTATCCCATTGTGTTGTTAATAAAACACAACTTCTCCCCTCACAAACTGCTCTTCTAGCACGGGGAGATGGGAGCTCAGCACTCTCCCCTGGGATAAAACCTCCCCATGAGGGGTTTAAATGGGGTTTAAGCAGTCCAGCAACTTTGTTCATGGAGGTCTTGCACCTCAAACCAATTCTAACCAATCTGCAGCGACTTCAGTTATGAAATGGGGCTGCTAACACAATAATAGGATCTAATCAGCAGAGAAATGGTTCTAGGCACAGCTCCTGTGTGTTTTATACTTAATGGAGACACAGGGTCTGAGCAAAGTCTGGTTTACTTCAGCCTCACAGACTTGGGCCATGACAAGACTCTGGGAGTTCACTGCAAATTTTAATTCTCTTTGCTCTTGTAGTGCCTCTTAATTGTACTTCTGTGTAATTCAGTTTAAGAACAGCCATCCCTATTGTTAATGACTGCTGAGTGCTTCACAGCTTTTCAAATATTGCTGTTTTATTGCTGGGCCATGTGGTACAGATCAGCTCAACAAATGCCTGATTGTTCTGTGCTGGCCAGGTCATGGAGAACAGGCTTTGGTTAAAGACCAACCTTCAACAGAAGCAGGGACCAAGGCTGAGTGAGTTCAGTCTGGGTGTGAGAAATCAAGGAGCATTTCTGTAGCTCTTGGCTGCTCTCAAGGATTACTGTGCTGAGCTGGAGCTGTGTGATTTATGTCCATCTTGGGTTGTCTGGGAGGCAAATTTCTGTCACTCTGAGGACAGAGGGGAAAAGTCCTGTAACAAGGGACTGCTGTGAGAAAGAGCAGAAATCATCCTGATTTCCTATGGTGTTTCTTCAGATAAAACAGAGATCACAGCTTGTGGAAAGTGCACTTTATTTCAGGTATGTAAAGGTGTCACAGAGGAGGGGATCTGTCTTTAGGCTTTCTTGCCTCTTCTGACAAGTGTTACTCCACCATATGTTATGGTCTGTGGGAGACAAATACACATTTTTATAGCAAAGTGGCAGAAGTGTCTGTAATTCATGCATAAATCCATCCTAGTCCACAAGAAAACACAATCACAGCACCTGCCTGTCAATATATGTACAACACTTAAATATATGTACAACATTTGCATGAAGGGAGAGTTGGAGTTGGTTGTGCCCTTGGAGCAGCCTTTATCCACAGGGACACTCTGTAGACACTATGAGCTAATCAACATTTTTTTCCTTCAGCATTTTTCTGCAAGTGCCTTTATTTTCACTTATTTGCACTTACCTCCACCATTTCATTTCCTTTTACTTCCTGCTCATGAGAGAATTTATCTGATTTGCACACCAGCTTCCCATTGACCAAGTTCACAGTGCACTGTTGGAACATTTAAAAAACATTTTTAAAAATTTAGATTTTGGATTCAATTCGAGTAAGTAGAGGACTAATAAATAGAAAATAAATTACACTGATGTTTCATAAGGACAGCTTTTAATTTAAACTAGAGAGCACAGCATTTGAATAGGAGTTTTAGGAACACTTCTGTTTGTTAAAGTGGTAGAAATATTTGCAAATGGAAATGGTACAAACAAATTCCACTCACACATAAACTGAGGTGAACTGAGGTTTAGGGATAAATAAAGATGTCCTATTCTTGGAATGCTTTACCTTCAGCTTCCTGCCATCCATGGTGGTGATGTCAGCCTCCTTGCCCAGTGTAAACGAGTTGGTTACAGATTTGTTGGGTGTTTTGGAAGTCACAACAAAGTCGTTGCCTTTTTGTTGTATTTCAACAACAGGCTTAATATCTTTGGCCATTTTGATGGTGTCATCTGGCAACCCTGCAAAAATGGGCAAAACAGAACTTTTTGTTATGGAAATAGCAAAATAGCAAATTGTGCCTTCCAACAAAGGCACAAAAGATCCACAGCAGTACTGGAAGGCGATGTCCAAGTTAAAAGACAAATCCTGGTTTGGGTTCCTCTGTTCTCTAGGAGTTTTTTGCTCCAGTCCTTCTAGTCTGGTTAGGTTTTGCTGTGATATTTGGTGATGTGTCAGATTATGCAGTTTCTTCTCCTAAGGGCTGCCCATGGGGTGACAATGCTCCATGAAAAGAACCACATGTGCATTGCTTTATTTTCCCAGGGAGTTGGGGGATTTTCTGTCCAGTCAGAGCTGGAACAGTGGGAGTACCTCAAACTCCCTTTCTGGGGTGTCCCTGGCATGATTTGAAGGTGTCATTGTCACCAGGAGAGGGTTTGGTTCTGTCACGCTGTCAGACCAGGCTTTTCAGCTGGAACTGGATCTCACTCTCCTGAATATCTCCTATTTACTCTAAAACCCCAACAGGAACGTTTTGTTGGCAAAGGTAAGTGCACATTTATTGGTGTAGCACCTCCTAATCCTCACAGATTCGATTTGATAATCACTCAGAGATTACTGACATTAGCACACTTGATAAGCACTGACAGGTTACTGACCACTTTTCCCAGTGTTAATTATTCACAGATTACTGACAACATTTGTGCTGCACAAAAGGCTTCTGTACCAATAATTGGGAGGCTGAATAAGTAATTGATTGCCTGTTTCTACTTATATGTGTTTATAAAATTACAGGTAATCAACACAACAGCTCTTCCTTGGGGGTTATCTGTAACCTTTCTCCATCAATTTATGCAACTTTCAGCTTCTTTTCACATCCAAATTTGATCAAACAGACTGAACCAAGCAGGGCAGTTTGCCACAGAAAGCAAAGGCCAAAATCCATGGAAATGCAGCAGTCAGAGCTGTGGGGGCAGTGATCTGAGGAGGAGCAGGCACTTACCCAGAGCCTTGAGGAAGGGCTCGAGGTTCTCCTGAGCGTAGATGTGCCAGGTGCCAGCGAACGCCATGGTGGGACACAGCAAGGGCTGCCCCTGCCCACGGGGATGCTACTTATGGAAACACAGAGGCCAGCCCAGACTGTCAGAGGGCTAATGATTAACTGGGCAACAGCAATCATTAATGAGGTATTTGTTCTGAATGATCATAACCTCTGGTTCACGCTGCTCTTACCTTGAGGCTTGGGATGCTGTGTTTGTTGTGGGTTACTGACCTCCTGTCCAGCCTTGCTGGAAAGTGTTTCAGTGCAGCTTCATTTGTTTGCTTTTTATTCACAACTTCTGTGTTTAACACATCCTCTGTGTCTTGAGTAGAATTCTTCAGATAAAGTTACAGTAGATCAAGGTGATTGGTATTGTACAGCAGGAAGTTCCTAATTATAACAGTGTTCTCTGCTGTGAGCACTTGAACCTTAATGAATGAATAAAATAGAATGAATAAAATCATTCTATTTCTTTTAAAATTGTGGGCGTCCCATGGCTTGAGGATGGGCAAAATCATATTGGAGTGGGACATGAATGATGATTTTATCCAGCAGATGTCAGTGATGTGCATCTAATGGAATTGAATTCAACTCAGTTTCTTTTAAACTTTTATTTTAATAGAAGATAAAAGATAAAACATGGAACATTGCTTGGAGAGTGAATGCAGGAAGCAAATAGGATGTGTTATTTTTTCTTCTCACCAACTGCACAAGGATTTCTTCACTCACTCCAGCTCTCGAGTGGTGTTCCTTGCTGTCTGTGCAGACCTCACTGTTGATTTTGGAAGACTTTCATTAGATGTGTCTTGCAATTAGATTGCTTAATTCAAACAGAGCCTGTATCCCAGGGGTGGGTGACCTCTCTAAGTTAGCTTTTCATTCTATTTAAATAGAGACCCAATGCTCAGCTTTCTCTTACCAACTCACCACCCTTTTTTAGTAGGTAATTTTAAAGAAGGTTCACACAGAAAGAACCAGATTTGTAATTACATTTACCTGTGAGAATTCCTGATTTGCAGGGTCATTTTTATGTGTGGAACATGTCCTGACTTCCCATGCACCCACAGGTGGAGTGATTTCACCATGGATGTACTCACAGCAGTGCTGAGATGTCACCAAGGGGTTGAGTTTAATCACACACACACAGGCTACAAGAAAATCTGTTACATGTAGTGATTTCATACAAAAACCCTCCACTGAAAGCCCCACGTGTGGATCCTCTGGTATTTCCCACACAGATTTACCAGGGCAGAGTCTCTGTGGAAGGTGAACATGCAGTGTACACACATGTGAACACACACACACACACACACACACACACACACAGAATTGTTCTGTAACAACTGCCAAACCACTGAAATATTGCTACAATGAACACAGAGACACCAAAAGGCATCTGAAGGAGTTAAATTCCTTTCAAATTCAAGGAAACAATTCATTCATTTTGGCTTTTTTGTGGTAATCCCAGCTGGGACTTCCTGCTCTGTTGCTATTGGGATCTCCCCGTGTTTATAGACACTGATGGTGACCTGCCCTGTTTCAGAGCCATATTTATTCTTGACATAGATGCTGTATTTTCCTGTGTCTTCATTGCAGACTCTCTCTATGGTGATTGTGACCATTGAGCCCTTCACATCCATCTTGTATCTGTCCTTGAACTCGATGGCCTTCTCGTTTTTGAACCAGGTGATCTCTGGGTAGGGGTCTCCAGACACACAACAAGTTAAACACAGGGTCTGTGGTGAGACAGAGAACAGAAATGGATTGTGGAGCTGTAAATGTGCAGGGAAATTCAGTTCATAGAACAGAAATGGATTGTGGAGCTGTAAATGTGCAGGGAAATTCAGTTCATAGAACAGAAATGGATTGTGGAGCTGTAAATGTGCAGGGAAATTCAGTTCATAGAATCAGCATCATTTAGGTTGGAAAAAACCTTTAAAATTGAGGCCCTGCCAAGGCCACCACCGAACCTTGTCCCCAAGTGCCACATCCACACATCTTTTAAATGAAGAACAATAAAAATCCGTTCTCACATTTTCATTAGGTGACATTCCAACACTGATATCTGATATTCCTTTTCCTGATTTTCTCCAGTACAATCAGGATTAATGCCTGAATTCACTGGGCCTGACTCATGTTTGTCTCACTGGTTTTTTATAGCTCCCTGTGCTGTCAGGTGGCACTGAAACAGGCACATGGTGAGTTTGCAGTTACTTTGCAGGGGTTTTGTGCTGCCTGAGTAAAGGGAAACGTGACTCAGAAATGAAAGCAGGGAGTTGGGCTGATGGGAGAATCAGGCCCAGCACCTGAAGGCCTTCAGAGTCCAATCCTGTGAAAAGGGGGGACAACAGAAAGGGTCTGGCAGTGAAGGTGACCCAGGAGGGCACCACTTCCCACCCCGGAGTGCAGCAGCTCAGAAAAGCTGCAGAAAGGATCTTTCCTCCCCCTCAGTGGCTGTGCAAGGAATGAATGGAGTTACTCAATATTACCTTGTCCTCCATGATGGTGGCAACATCTGGCAGACCTTGAACGACTCTGGCACGGCCTGGGAGTGAACAAATAGAACCTTTTGGTTTTTCTTATCAGCAAACCTGGCTTTGTTTCACTGAAGGGAAGAGATTAATTTACTTACGCTTCTCTGCTATTGCTGCTTCCCTGAAAGGGAGAGAAAATGATTGTGGTTTTATTTATTAGCCATTATACTAATGTACAATGTGAGACTCAAAATAGATTGAGCTGTGAAAATATTTAGGAGGAACTTACTTTAGCCTCTTGTGCTCAGCCAGGGCATCTTCAAAAGCTGCAAGAATGAAAGGTTTTAGGGAAAGTTGCCTTTAGTTTTGTTCGACTCAGTAGATTCAGCATTAAGTTGTTGTTACCAGTGCTGGGATTACGTGGATAAATGTAATTATCCTCTAGATGGTACCTGCCCCTGCCTCAAGGAATCACAGCTCTGTGTACTGTTGAAATAAGTGGGAGTGAGTTCTCTCTTCCCAAAGAGAAGTTCAGAGGAGAAAAAACCTCCAACAGTTTGGAAAAGCCTTTGTAAACCTGGGAGTTCTCTTTTCCCAGATGCCACCTGTGAGCTCTGTTGTCCAGGGGAGGATTTGGACCCATCCCAGGAGCAGCTGCCCTGCTCTCATCCTTTCCCCAGCACTGCCAAGGCTCCCTAAAGGCCTCAGTCCTTTCTCCTGCCCACTTCCCCTCTCTCCATGTTCTGTGGGCTCTTCCCTGTCCTCCTCACCCCAATTCCACAAGGATTCCACTTGGAAATCAGCTCCAGCTCCAGAAGGGAGAGGGGAATCCCTGCCCAGCTTTGAGGGCTCCTGGACAGCAGCTCAGGAGGGCCTCAGCTCACCTTGCCCAGCCAGGTCTGCTGACAGTTTGTGGGAGCTGTTGCCATCGAACATCTCCAGGGTGTATTTGCCCTTGTCAGCCTCCCTGGGCTCCAGGATGTGCAGCCAGATCTGGTTCATGGTGCTCCCAGCTCTCGTCCTGTCACGGCTTTCCAGTTGTTTCTCCCTGAGTGAGCAAGGGATGGCATTTCAGTCCTGGTTAGCAGAGCTGAGAAATCACTTTTTTCTAGTGGCAGTCAGGATTCATTTCATGGAAAGAGGAAATCCCATGGGGCTGGACTTGGAGGCAGTTTGCCAGAGCTTCATAAACTCTACAAAAGACCTCCTAGTTCTTATTTAAGGGATTAAATCCCATTTAGATGTTGAATATTTGTAAGTATTTAGCCCTTGAATGTTATTAAAAGTTCACCTCCTTATCTACATGTGTAGGTGGTATCTAATAAAACACCAACTCTCTATTTAGGAAGACGTTATGAGGCTAAATTATTCAGTGTTTGGGAAGAATTTTGTCATTTTGGGAATATTTTTTATTCAGAGTGGGGGAAGAAAGTGGTTAAGGAAAAGATGAAGTAGTAAAAATAAAGTGTTTGAAAAAATTCTGTCTGTAACCAAGGAGGCTGTAACTGAGCAGTATCATAAGTGCAGCATCATTATTATTCTAGGAAAGATGATCACTTCTAAATATTTCTGCAGTGCTACCATAAAAATAACATGACTTTCCACTCTGGAATTCCCAGACATGTTCCAGGATGGGAGTGAATTGTGGATTTCAGCCCTTACTCAGACAAATCCACAGCTGCCTGAAAAAGTTTATGGGCTCAGGCCCAAATGTTTAATTTTGGATAAACAGTTCCAAGGAACAGTCCTCCAGAAGCTTTGCAGATATTTTTTTGGGACTTACTTGTGGTACCAGGTGGTTTTCATGTAGTCTGTGTAGTACTTGACATCTGTGTAGATTTTGATGCCCTCCTCAGTTGGCTGAATTCTCAGAGGTGTGGCAGAAAGAGCTGGTGGTGTAAGATAGAGACTGACATGGAGGAGGAATGCCCAGATTGCCCCGCTCCAGGCCGAAAGCCCAGCCAAGGAGCAGGGAGGGAGGGAGGGGGTGGTGCTGTGCTGGTTCCACAGCCAGGGACGGCTGTGCCTTCCCAGCCCTCCCCTCTGCCGAGAGCTCACGTACCACTGATCCTGCACAGCTCCTTCAGAAGCTCCTCAAGGGCTGAAAGACAAAGATTGAAGTGTCTAGAAATACAAATCACAGCAAAGCACCTCCAATCTGCCAATGAATTTCACTGTGGTTGGGGTGTTTTATATCCACGGGTTATTTGCTGTCTTTTTCTGTGGCAGAGCTCACTGGGAATGGAGTTTTTGCCTCTGATTCATTTGTTTTCAGATGCTGGGCATTTCTTACTAAATTTAGATGCTCCTATCTTCCTTCCCATTCACCATGTGCCTCCCAGACAGGAGATTTATGTACCAGGTTCACAGGATGGATTCCAGATGTGGGGGTGTCATGGTTTGACACTGGCACAATGCCAGTACCCCCATGAAGATACCTTCTCCCTGGTAGCTGCTGTGAGATGTGACCAGGAATAAGCAATTAGGAAAGAAAAGAAAACAGAACTTTATTAACTACTCTACAACTACAAATAAAAAGGAACACACACACAGGGAGAATGAAAACCCCACAAATGCATTTCCTCCTCCCCCCACCAAATTTCCAACACAATACATCCATTCCTCAAATCACCAGCTCTCGGTCCAGCACCACCTTTAGACAATCAATTCTCAGTTCATCAAGAGGAGAGGAGTCCTTCTTGTGCCATGGGCTTCCCCTGGAAACACAGCTGAAGCTTTGTGTGTTTCTGTGTCACTCGTGGCACCGCCCGGAGTACATCTGCCATCGTGACCTCTTCCTTTCATGTCCAGTGCTCTCACCACTGAACATGGACCAGAGCTGCTTCTAGGGTTGTCTTTTAAGGATGCTCTGTCCCGATCCAAAAGAGGCACAGTCTCTCCTTTGGGACACCTGTCCCCACAATCTCTCCTTTGGGACACCTGTCCCCACAGTCTCACCTTTGGGACACCTGTCCCCACAGTCTCTCCTTTGGGACACCTGTCCCCACAATCTCTCCTTTGGGACACCTGTCCCCCCCCATATTTGTTCACCCCCTGGGGCCGAGGGGCATCAACACTGAACCCTCTTGGCTCTGAGGCCATTACCTCCCCCTAGATGCAGTCTCTGTGTCACAAGGAACATGGGTCTGTCCATGGCTATACAAAAAGAGTCCAGCAAAAGCTACTCCATCATCTCTTCCCGCTAGGATTCTTCTCTACTCTTCTACTATCTCTCGCTCGCCCAGACCTCTCTCACACTTACATTTCCTTCCTCATCTTCCACTCTATCTTCTAGGAGAGGTCAATGATCTGTAAAGTTCTCATTCTCCAAAAAGGGGTTAAAAGCTCCTACAAGTGGCCGGCTGCACCCCCCCCTTCTTCTCCGTCCCAGCCGTGCTGCCGGCACAGGCCCACGTTTATCCCGTTTCAGGGTTACAGTCCCAGGCAGCGGCTCTCTTTCTCTCTCTCTCTCTCTCTGTGTCTCTCAGGAGGGGCTGTCCGGTGGCTCTCGGTCTCTCTCTCTCTCTCTGTCTCTGTGTCTCTCAGGGGGGGCTGCCCGATGGCTCCCGGTGTCTCTCTCTCTCTCTCTCTCTCTCTCTCTCTCTCGGTCTCTCTCTTTCTCTCTTCCACCCTTCCACCCCCGGGCTCAGGCCTACCTCTCCCAGCCACGTGGCTTTTCCCCTCCCCCGGCCCAGCCAGCAGCTGGGCCGGGGGAGGGACCCGAACTCTTTCCCGCCAGAAACCCAAAAGGACCCTCCCAGGGTCCTCCCAGCAATTAATCTTGGGCAGCAGAACCTTCTGATTGATTCTGGGTTGGAGTGACTGAAACATCCCTGAGCTTTTATCTGTGGGGCTTGGCAGAATTTATGATGCAGTGCTGGTTGGAGAAATGACTGCAGGTGGAAATGACAGCAGCATGTAGAGCAGGAAACTCGTTAAATTTGACCAGTCATTTTTTTGTGTGGGTTTTAACTCCTGTAAAAGCACTTAGGACATGTAGGTTTTATAGAAAGTGAGGATAGTTGGGTTTAAATCCAAAATGAACTCAGGGCAGGGGTGTGAATGTGTCTTAATGTGTGATCCAAGGTGCTCTTACCTCCTTTGGTGAGGTCCAGCTGGGTGGAGTCCTCTCCTCGGTTATCTGAAACCACTGCTTTGTACAGGCCCTCATCTGCTTTGGTTACCTACCAAACACGTGTGTGCATGTGTAATATTGATTAAAATAACCCAAACAAAGGCCAAAACAAACAACACCCCTCCCAGAGAAATCTCCCCTATCACTGAAACAGGGCAGGATTTGGAAAAGGGAAAAAGCTGAGATTCATTCCTTCCCAATGAGTTTGGTTGAACTGAGCAGAAATGAGGGGGAAAAGGGTAAATTTGTCCCAAAAGCTCCTGTGAAAGGAGAGGGGGGTCTGGTTCAGAAGCTGTTGGTTTTGGGGGGTCAGTAGCTCAGCTTTTGCCTCAGTCAGTCCCTGTGTGAAACTGGCTCTTTCCAGCCTCTCAGGATGGGTTAAACGTTGAACAGCCACCCACTGTTACAAACATCTTATTTCCTATTAGGAGCTTCAGATCACAGCCTGGAAAGGGACCTTAAAGATTGTTTAGTTCCAACCCCCTGCCATGAACTGCATTTGACCTCAGATTCAGAGCCTGACTGGAACATGAGAACTTTCTCCTGCTTTGCTTTTCTCAGCGTTTCTTTCCCTCAGTGGGCACTGCCCAGAACCCACATGGAACATGAATAAGATCAGCCCACTTTTTTTTTCTTTTTGCCATTTTCCTGTGGACCCCTGAGCTGTTTGGTGTTTCACCTTTGGGATCTGCAGAGTTCCCATCCCAGTCTGTGGATCAAACACTCCACCAGCAGCTCGTGCCTTGTGATTGAAGAACCACTGGAAGCTGGTGTCCTTCCTCAGGTTTGTTGCCTGTTTGAAGCCAATATTTAGAAGTCAAAATCCATTTGATTTCTTAATTCTTGGATGTCCTAATATGAATCATCACTTACATTACTCCAGAATCTGAGAATTTCCCTTCTTTGTTAAAGTTTCTGCCCAAAAGAAACCATCTCCTTAAAGTCACAGCAGCAAAGCATTTGCACTGCTCATATCCTCTGAAAATTGCACCTAAAACTGAGTGCTGAAGGAATTCTGTTACCTTGCAGGTGAGGAGCACTTCACAGCTCTCCAAAACTTTCCATGTCAGGTTCTCTATGAAATGTGGACCTGGAAAAGAAATGCAATCTCTCTCGTGGTGCCTTTGGGGATTTCCTGCGGGAATGGTTCCATCTAGTGCTGGATTCCCGCAGTGCACCTGGGAATTCCCCAGGTTCGAGCGAACAGGGAGGGGAAGCTGAAATAAATTCCTTTGGATCCTTTCACCCCATTCTGGGCAGCCTTGAACCCGAGAAGAGACTGTATTTATAACGTGCTGTCACAGGCACTAACAAGTGAATATTTTTAGCCTCACTAGCAGGGAATCACATTTCCAATTGTAGTATTTTTCCAATGAACTTGTTTTATAAACTTCTTTATTTATCAACATAAGATGGGAGGTGAAAGTGGAATGCATGGATCTTTACAAACTTAGCTAGAAATCCTGGTTTTTAATTACAGAATGTGTATTCAGGTTGGGCAGTTTTCAGAGTTTGAAAGTGTTCAGTGCCACAGCACTGGTGCAGAAGATCTCCACTGATAAATCTGCCTAGCTTGGCTAAAACTAGTTCATGATTTGATTTTTAAGGGCAGGGCAAAGTATCTGAAAACAAGGAGTCTTATCCTAGTGTCCTAATCAGCTTGAATACTGTGTTTAAAAAGATGATGGAGTGAAATAAATTCATTTTTGCCATCCTGGCCTCATTCTGACAAGTCCTTAACCTCTGGCTGACCTTACCCTGCTTTTTCTTCCATTGTCTCCGTTTTGCTTCAGCTTCTTCTGCCACTTTAGCAAAAGCTATGGAACAGCAAAGGACAAAGTCAACAACCCCCCATTATTGGATATTCCTTCTACAATGGAAATATTTCCTCCTTGTCCTTATTACCTTTAGTGCAGTGAACCTGCTGCTAAATACACTGAATTTCCAGGCTGATCCTGCCCTGAGATAAATGACTACACAGTCTCCACTCTGCTACCAAGGCACAGTTCACCACTGCAAGCTAATATGTAAAATATTTGGAAGGAAGAACTGAGCATTCCACTTCAGCACACTGCTTTTATCATCAAGCACCTATTTATAAGACTAAAAGCTTTAATTTATGGTAAAGAGAGATTCAGATCATTTCTGAAATGATTCCTGGACTTTAAATCTGGGCTAAAATTTGCTCTCCCCATTCCCAGTGTGCCGTTAGAACTGTTGGAAATACTTTGGTGCCTTAAGTGCCTCACAAAGTTTCCACTGAGCATGGCAGTCTATATTTGATCCTGAATTTCACTTACATTCATCTATGAGAGCAAGAGTGAATTGATTTTTGGCTTTCCCATCTTTGAGCTGGGCTGTGTACATCCCTTTGTCATCAGCACAGAAATCCTGGATTATCAGTTCCACGAGACCTTTCTCTTTCACAAAGTTGATTTTGTGTGTCTGTGTAAAACAGAGGAAATAGGAGAAACTGAAGAGATTTCCACAGTGGAGCTGCTCCTGGCACAGCAGATATTGCAGTTATTTTATACCTGTATCCTTATAAACTCCCCTCATGTTACAGGATGAGGAAGGCAGAGCTCTGTGCTGTGCCAGGCTGTGGGATTCATGTTATTTATGTGTGTAGGAATGGTAGAATTGCTTCCAGCAGAGACAAAGTCCTGTAAAACCACCTAACCCAAACCATCCTTCATGGGTACTACAGGGCTGAAACCAGAGTAGCTGTGATTGTCAGAGGCATGGGAGTGTTGCACTTGGCTGTAAGCTGTGATGTGCAGTTCCACACTTGGCCAGGGTGAGGAATGTTTCCCCCTCTTGCTGAGGTGCAGGTACCACTGAGCTCCTGCACCAGGAGTGCCTGGACACAAACATCATCACTCTGCCTCACTGCCTGTTTGCTCTGAGCAAATATTGTCCTTGCAAGGAGCCTCATAAACGGTGCAGATCCCTGTCAGCTCTCCAGTGGAGAGGAGACAGATTTTAGAAGAGATAAAGCCTTGGATAAACGTGTTACATGTTGATTTAACCCCCCAGCAGGGCACTGACAGCTCTGAACTGCTCTGGCCTGGACCTGTCCTTTGTTCTGGGGGTCCTGGTTGTTGTCTGGGCATTGCTGCTCTGCACTGAGCTGACAGCCCATGATTTATATTTGTGCTTCATTCTCAACTGTTCTCCCCTCTGGTCCTCTCATTCCAAGTATTTTTTAAATGTTCTAATATTAATTTGATATGGGAGGACAAGGAGGAGGCCTGGACATTTTTGTGGATGTTTGAGGAGGTTGGAGGGTGCTGTAACACACAGGGTTATTTTCAGTGCTTTGGACTGAGAAATAAATCTCTCCCATCTGCTCTTAGAATTCATGAGATTTGCCTGCATTCAGTTCAAAATCCCCATCAAAATATCTGATGGCAATTCAGAAAACTGGGAATGTGCCATGTCTAGCAGTGGGGAAGTAAGTCAGGATGAAATGCAGAATAAAACCTACTGGGCTACTGGTGAGCTCCTTGTCGTTGAAGATCAGGTGCAGCTCAGCGTTCGGGGACAGCTTCTCCACCTCCAGCCACAGCCGCACTTCCCCTTTCTCCAGGACGTCGATGTTCCAGCCAGATATCAGCCTGATCACTGGGGAGCAGAGAGAGGCACCAGGGGAATCCCAGGCACAGGGCCTGGCCCAGCCAGGCCTCTGCTGGCTTCCCTTTTCCCAGGCTGGCCCCTGCTCGTGGCTTTTTGCTGCTTCAACTTACGTGGGTTCCTGATTTCGTGGCTACGTTTCAATAACTTGTCCAGATCTGAAATGCAGGGAATTAAAAGTCAACACTCAGCCAAAACAAATTAATTGTATCATTTTAATTTAATTGGTTGATGAACTTCATGTCAAAGAGAAGATAAAACATTCAGTAATGGGGAGGACTGGAAAAGGTGGTGAAGGGAATTGTTGGGATCAATTCAGGGAGCGTGCTGAAGTTATAAATCATTGTCACAGTGTAGCCAAATGTGAAATCTGAACTGCAGTGGAAAAATGACTTTGCAGGAGCATGGAATCTTTCCTTAGGGGACTGTAAAAGAAACTGCCCTTGAGCCTTCAAGGAATGGGAAACATCTTTTTAGTGATACCATTAAGTGACATTAGTCACTCACTATTCTTCTGCAGGAAACTTTCCTCTAAACATCTAAGATTAGAAAATGAGGGCACCTTAGTTTTTTGTTGTTGGCAATTAGCAGTTTTTACCTTCTTTTGTTAAAGTGCAGCTGGCAGAGATATCATCATCTACATCTGTGACTTCCACCGAATACACACCCAGGTCCTTTTCTGAGGGTTCTTTCAGTATCAGTTTTGATCTAGAAGTAAAAAGAATAATAGCAAAAATTATATCTTTTCCTCAGAAATGATGTCTCCTGGGACAGAATTTGATACACCCAGAACAGGAAGTGTGGAACTCATTGGAATTTATAACTGACTCTGAGGAGCAAGGTAAAGATATTGGGGACAGGATGGCAGCTACTCCCAGATGGCACTGACCAGCTCATTTCATGGGCTCCAGGGCTGGCAGTCAGGGAAGGGACAGGGAAACATTTGGCTTCAGGCTTTTCTTGGTGTTCAATGTGTTCTTTACTCACCAGTGCATTTTCTCAGTGTGCATTAGATGCTCACCTATTGCCTTTCTCTTCAATCTGGACTCGGTCAGGGTCTGGAGGTCCCTCATAGTCCTTTGACCAGATAAATTCAGAGGAGTCATTCTTCTCAGGAGCTTCAAAGGCCATGTAAATGAAACCCTCTTCATCCACCCCGACTTCAATTTCATTTGTGCCTGGATGTGTGAAAAAGCCACAAAACATTCCTTACCAAAGCAGATCAGGGCTGAGCTTCTGCACGTCTGACTCAAAAAACAACCCCCAAAACCAAACCACACAGAGCACAGTTAGAGCTAATTAATTTGGGCAGCTTGATTTGTTCATCATCGTTTTACTGAGAGTGTTTCTTGCTGTGAAACAAGCAGCTGATGCATCACAAAGCAGATTTTCACCCAAGTCATACATTTATTTACAGAGTGGCCCAGTCTCATGGCTTTTAGCTTCATACCAGGTTTGGTTTTAGCCACCACGGGGTCGGAGGGGAGGGAAGGGGGTCCAACTCCAGCCTTGTTCAGCGCTCGTACTCGGAAAATGTAGCACTTGCCTGTTTCCAGGTGTGACACCTGCAGGGAACACCACCAGGAATTCATGTCAGAGCAGGACAAGCAGCACTAGGACACTAAGGGCAGGTACAGACCTTCATGTGGGTGCTGGCTGTGGGCTGCTTGTTCATCTGTTTCCACTCTTCTGAGCCTTCTTCACACAGGTCTATGAAATAGCCTGTGACCGGCCCTGCCCCCAGGTACAGAGGAGCTTCCCAGTGCAGCTGCAGGGAGGAGTCCCTCACCTCCGTGCACCTGACATCGTAAGGAGGGCCTGGCACAGAGGGAACAGGGAAACTGCAGTTGGGCTGGGGTCAGAGAGCACAGCTTGGGGTAGCACTTGAGTAGTGGGTCTGTAGGGGATGGTTTCTATGGTAATTAGGGGTAGGTTTATGAAATGGCATCACCAGCTGCTTTAATGGTATTTGCTGTGGTGTAAGGAAAAGGATTTAGAGTTTAGATCCTGATTCTTCATTCTCTGGAAACAATATTATTAAAAATACCTGGGTGCTCTATGTATGGAACAACACCCTGCATCACAACACCCTTGGAAGTGTTTTGTGCTTTTCTGTCCTGGGAGCAACCATTTCTGTGGTAGAAATCCCTTGGAAGAGTGAGGAGATAACCAGCTCAGCTGGTGACATTTTCCTGGATGGTTTTCCACGAGGGATACCTGGCTCTGGCATTGTCCATTCCTCACATCTGAACAGGTCACTGGGCTCGGACACGTCCCCAACTCCAGCCCTGTTCACGGCACGGGCACGGAACTCGTACAGGTGCCCCTCCTGCAGGCTGCTGACCTTGGGGTGCAGAAGGACAGGCATGGTCAGTCCAGCAGGACACTGAAGGAGCAGAAGAAGCCCAGCTCACCCTTGGTGCAGCTGCTCCCAGCTGTGCCCCAGATGGATACCGTGCAGACGCGCCCAGGAATCGGCCGAGCGTTGACTTCGTGCCACTCGGGCTCCGAGTGCTCGTGCTGGTCCAGGAAATATCCCAGGATCTTTGTTCCTCCTTTGTGCTTCGGGGCTTTCCAGCCAATGGTCATCTCAGCCTTGCCACAGTGCAGCAGCACAAAGTCCCGAGGGGCCGAGGGACAGGCTGGGCACAGAGGGACAGACAGAACAGCAGGGGACAGACAGAACAGCAGGGGACAGACAGAACAGCAGTGTCAGCACAACGTCCACGGTCTCACCTGGGAGTCACAGCAGAAGCCTCGGATGTGTCTCACGAGGTCCCTTGCCTGGTGCTTTAGGGTTTGTGTGGCAGAAAAGGTGGGAGCAGTGGGTTGATAAAATGGGGGACATGGAGGGTTAGGTCATGGATGGTGTAGTTGTAGGATTTTCTAATTTTCCTGAGAAATTCCCGATGTTGCTTTCCAGACATCACATAATGGAGCACTTTAAATGGTCACTTGTACCCAGAGCCAAATTAACACCACAAATGTAACACACTGCTAGGACAAAATGCTAATTAATTAACTCTGTCCACGCTTGGCAAGTGTAATTGATGGCAGAAGCTGCAGGGTACAGGAAAATGAGTTCCCTTTTGTTTTGTTTCTCAGACACTGTCACCATAGCAGGCAGTGGTGGCTGTGCCTGACAGACGGGGTTGGAGGGGTTTCATTTTGGTCACTACTCACCAATTGCTGGCCTGACAACGATGGGATCTGTTTCTGGTGAGCTCTCACTCAGTCCTGCATCACTGACAGATTTCACACAAAACACATATTCCTTTCCAGGCTGCAGCCCAGGAACAGTAAATCTGGGAGAGCAAATTAATATGTTTGTGTTTGCCTGTGCACAGGTAAACAGTGCTGAAACAGATATCAACACACTTTAATAAGGCTTAGTTCTTGCAAAATCATTATTTGTCATTACAAATGAATGTGTCACATGAAATGGCTCCAGATAACTCACAGTGGCTATGGATCAGATGGAGATGAATCACCATGGGCAGGGAGATAAACAGCACTTTTTAATGGACTTTTTCTGCTTGATATGTGACCCCCACAGCTGGAGAGTGACTGTAAATTCTGCATGGGACTGACACCAACTTACTCTAGTGGAAAACAGGCCAACCCATGGAATGTGGTTCTGCTGGTGCCCCAGGCTCAGTGGGGCTGTACAGCCCAGGCCTGGAGCAATCCTGAACCCTCTGAGAGGCCCTGCTGTTGCTGTGCCTGCCAGCCTGTGCCTGGGGACTGTAGGGAGGTCTTTTTTTATCTGAAACACGACTCCAGGCAGAAACAGAGGAATCCAGGTTGGGCCCCTGGCCTCCCTCAGCAGAGCAGAGAGCTGCACTCACTGGCTGCCTGTCACTGGTTTGTTATTGACTGTTTGCCACTGCTCCGTGCCCGTCTCCCGGCAGTAGATGTAATACCCAAGGGGCTCTGGGCCCTCCTTGGGCTTGTCCCACTGCACAACAACAGATGTCTTGGTGTCTCTGAAGGCCAAAACCTGAGATGGTGGAGGTGGAGGAGCTAAAAAAGGGAAGAAACAAAAAAACACAGACAAAAGTCGTGAGGGTTAAAGTCTATAATTTAAAAAAGTCCAAAGTATTATAAACAAGTTGGCCTGTTTGATTTATTCACCTTTTCCACAGCACCATTTTCAAATTGTTGCCCAGGGAAGCTGTGGCTGCCCCATCCCTGGAAATGCCCAAGGCCAGGCTGGATGGGGCTGGAGCAGCCTGGGATAGTGGAAGGTCCCTGCCTGTGGATGAGCTTTGAAGTCCCTTCCAACCCAAACCATTCTGGGATTCAGTGGAATTAGAGCAAAATGCCATGGACAGGGGTCTCTACTCTACAGGATCTGTGCTTGGGTTTGCCAGATGACTTCTTCCTCTCTCACTGATTCCTGTAGTTACCTCACACAGCCTCCTCTGAAGCAGAGGAAAAACAAAGCTCATCTGTTGATTGTCCTTGGCTCCACCCTGAACTGGGACCTGCTCCCCTCTGCATTTCCATCTATGAGTGAACCCTGGAGCAGCTTCAGTGTGGGACAACACACAAATAAAGAGTCAGTGCTCATCCCTCTGCAGAAGAGAAACACCAACAGGAGCCTGTGGCCCTCTTTCTGTAATCTCAGTCCAGGGAGAAAACAGCCCAAAGCAGCCCTGCAGAGGCTGCTGGCATTCCTTCCACACTGTCACCTCCCTCACACCATGCTGGAAGCATCCTTGGATTAAACACAGGCTTCCACTGCTCCTGTTCTATTAAATGTAATTCCCCGCTCACTGCTTGCTCAGATTAACACTGCCCTGACCAACTGCAAACCAATTAAAGGAGGATTTAGGGCTTCAGGAGATTTCCTTATATCAAAGTACTGCTGTGTAACCATAGACCATGAAGTTTAGAGGGGAGCGTGGGCAGGGGATCCCCCTCATTGCTGGCAGCCCATGCCCTCTGTGGGGCTGGTGCAGGAGATAAAACCATGAGGTTTAGAGGGGATCTCCCTCGTTCCTGGCAGGAGTTAAAACCGTGAAGTTTGGAGTTTTATTTTACTTGCCTTGCACTAGGAACCCTCTGCAGGGTTAGTGCAGGAGTTAAAACCATGAGGTTTAGAGGGGATGCCCCCCTATTTCCGGCAGCCCATCCCTCTGCAGGCTGGTGCAGGAGTTAAAACCATGAAATTAGAGGGAATTCCCCCCTATTCCCGGCAGCCCATCCCTCTGCAGGGTTAGTACAGGAGTTAAAACCATGAGGTTTAGAGGGAATTCCCCCATTCCCGGCAGCCCATCCCTCCGCAGGGCTGGTGCAGGAGTTGAAACCATGAAGTTAGAGAGGATCCCCCCCTATTCCCGGCAGCCCATCCCTCTGCAGGGCTGGTGCAGGAGTTAAAACCATGAAATTAGAGGGGATCCCCCCATTCCCGGCAGCCCATCCCTCTGCAGGGCTGGTGCAGGAGATAAAACCATGAAATTAGAGGGAATTCCCCCCATTCCCGGCAGCCCATCCCTCCGCAGGCTGGCGCAGGCACGGCAGAGCAGCGCTGCTGTTACCGGGCTGTGTCCCGGCGGGGACGGGCGCGCTGGGCACCGAGGGATCGCTGATGCCGAACTTGTTGACGGAGCGCACGCGGAACCGGAAGGATTTTCCCTTCTCCAGCCCGAAGAGTGCAAATCTTGGGGAATTCGCAGGCGTCTCCAGGTTCACCATCTGCCAGGAGCTGCTGCCTACGAGACACTGCAAAGGAAAAGGAGATGATTTACAGCTCCTAAAGTGAGCACAAAACCCTCCTGACCAATAACAAAGCTGGGCTTTGTAGGAAAGGAATTTTTAAAAGCTCCAAACAAAACACAAACCAAAGCCATAAATTATATATTTCTTGTTGATGTACCCACAGTTTTCACCCTTGGCAGCAGAGGGCCCCTTTGCTACAGGAGGTTAGAAGTAAGGATGCATAAATGGAGACGGGCAGAAGACGTTAATTAACCAACAGAGTGATTAGTGGGGAACAGGACAGTGAGATATTCTCAGTTCTTCACAGCTTTTCCCCTTTCAGGGCTGTAGGGCAGGAACAGTTCTTCCTGTTAGAATTCTGCCACTGTTCTGTGCTGTTAAAATTCCTCGTCCATTCCTTGTTAATCATTAGTCCTTGAGCTGTGTCAGAGTCAGGGCCATGGCTCAGGGCACCTGTGGGGCTGGAGGAGGCTGAACCAGCTGGATTTGAGGCTGGATCTCCCCAGTTCCTCTCTGGGAATGGCCTCACCTGTATCATGTCCCACTTGAGACAGAAATGGTTCTGCTCTGCAGCTCCCCTCCTGTGTGATGTTATTATTTTCTTACCTTTTCCACATAGTAATTCAGTGGCTCTCTGCCTCTTGGATCTGGTTCATCCCAGGCCAAAGCCACATAATCCTCTCTGACCTCACTTGCACGGACATTGGTGGGTGGCAAGGGAATTTTAATGTGTCCTGTGGGAAGGCAGAAAAGGCTTTAGTGATAATGTGGCAGGAAAATTAAAGTTCTTTTACAGTGGATTCTGTTCTCCCACTATAAATTAAGATTCTTCAGTATAAAGAAGGAGACAAACACTTTGGGGAAATTTGAACTCACCCTCCAGGTCATCCTTGGATATTTCTATGGTCCTGCCCTGATCATATGGAATCACTGCAATGACAAACAGGGCACAGTTACCCACCCACAGGAGGTGCCTGGGGAGAAAGACAGAACCCAGGGCTGGCTCATTGGTTCTGTGCACAATTATAGACATTTAATGTCACAAACAATGGCATTTTGAGCTCTTTCTGTTCAGAATACTCCCAAGATGGGCTCGGCAGAGACATTTGTGGGCATGGGGACGATCTGGACACTCTGCACTCCGTTACTCCTGCAGCCTCCCGTGGTTCTGAGGGTGTGGTACCAACCTGTCACTCTCTTGTCCCTGCTGGAGTCCTGGGTGGTGACAGGGTCACTGGCCCTTGAAGGGTGGCTGGTGCCAGCCTTGTTGACAGCCTTGACCCGGAACTGGTACGTGTGTCCCTCTGCCAGGCCCAGCACTGGGCACCTGCAGCCCCTCACAGGCTGGGCACTGCACTGCACCCACTGCTCCGAGCCAGCCTCACACCTGCAAGGACACAGGGCCCACGGGGCCCCTTGGTTCTATTTCCACCATACAATGGGGGTTCCTAGCTCTGACACGATGCCTTACACACCTTTCAATGAGGTAGCCCAGGATGGGGCTTCCTCCATCATCGCTGGGTGCTACCCAGGAAAGGACCAGGCAGTCTTTGTTCACATCGTGGCACCTCACGTTGAGGGGGGATCCTGGGGCACCAGCTGTCAGTGCTGCAGCATCTGCAAAACACCAGGGGAGGCTGGGTAGCTTCTGTTCTTTTCTCTTCCAGAATTTTCATTGAGGAGATTAATTTTAAGTGTTTAAGGGCCTATCCCAGTAACACAATGTTTTAATACTGAAATAATCAGCGAAAATAAGATTTGGTCATTGTGGTAATTGTATCCACACACAAAATTAGGAGCTGTTTCCTTGTGTGTGAGGGGAGGAATTCCTTTATGCCAAGACCTTAGGAAAGGAGACCTGCAGGTACCTCTGACAAACACATAAGTGGTCTGCTCCTTGTATCCCTGCAGCGAGGGGACACGGATGGTGTAGAAGCCCTCGTCCTCCTTGTGAGCACACAGCACTGTCAGAGATGCCTCAGACCCCTGGCACCTCAGCTCCTGACCCTCTGAGTCCTGCAGCAGCTCCCCTGTGGAGCAGAGAAGGGGAAGGAAATTCACCTGGATTTACCTGGTTAGGAGTGGCGATATTTATTCCCAAATGCCTCAAAAAGCACAAAATGGGATGAGGGATCTCTAAGACATTCCTGGATTATTTTTGTGCCTCCAAATTGCAGCTGTGGACTCTGATCCACAGAAAGACCCAAGCAGAACAACACAGAGAACCCAGAAGTTTTTCTCACAGGAGAACCACAGGCTTTTCAAACTAAGGCTGTTCAGATATTCTTATGAACAGGAATGTCATTACCTCCAAAACGTTTCAATGGCATCATCCTTTACCAATGGGGAAAAGACAAACATTAAATAGTAACACCTGTAGCTTGAGCAGAGCTGAGAACAGCTCAGGAATCCTGGATTTTAATAATTTTCTTTTTTTTTTTCTGCGAACATTCAATCCCAGCTGTGAATTCCAGTGGGATATTCCCAGAGGTAAATGCACATAAACTCAGCTGTTGCCTACAAACCATCTCTGAACCAGGTGATGCCTCCTTGGTGCTCCAGTAAATCAGAGGAGAAGTAACAGGAGAGGGTGAAAGGCTCCTTTTCTCTTGCAAATAAGGGTTTCAGTGGAAAAGCAAAATCTGCCTCTCTGGCCAGAAGGGATCCTGTGCAATGAAAGTCAGCATGATGAAGAGACTTCAGAGCCTTCCTCCTGCAGTATTTTTATTGTCATATATTTAGAGTGAGCCTTGCACACTTTGCATGTGCAGTCAGGCTGACAAGAAAAGCTCTCAGGGAAAAAAATAATCAAATTGCATCAGGCTATAAAAATAATTAATAATAACACCAATTATTTACTCACTTTTGTAGATTTCTGAATCAAATCCTGACGCCTTTCCATAATATTCTATAAGAGAAGAGGAAAACACATTTAGCCAATCTCATGGAGTGTTTATCTTCTTAATAACACCCAGTGATGCTCAGCAAACTGTTTTACCCTCAAGCCAGCCCTTGATTTGAACCTTTAAAGTGTCACCATGGGCTCAAAGTTCAATTCATTTGACCCCTGATGCCCTTCACAAGCCTCTGGGGATGTGTCTGCAGAGAAATTGTCCCATGACTGTTCCAGGGGATGCAATCCTGCTCCAAATGCTCTCAGTTATTCAAAGCTGAGGAGGGCTTTGTCACTCTGCCTTTTCAAGCAGGCAAGTTAAAACCTAATTAAATAAAGATTTGAAGAAAAGCAACCCCTGGGTTCTAACAGCATTCCCAGAGGATGATGTGGGATTCTTGGAAAGCACCAGTGGGACCTTGGGATTTAACCAAAGGAAAGGCTGTTTGTGCTGAGACAGAGGCAGTTCTGGAGCTCAGGGAAGGATGTCCCCAAATCAGCTGTTCTGGGTCCTCTGGAGGTGTCACAGCTCCTCCAGCTGCTCTGGCCTCTTGGCATCACAGCACAATGTGATGCTGAAATCATCTGGGCCTGAAAGCCAAGAACTGCTGCACTCAGGATGAACCTGAGGCACTTTTCTCTCAAGTCACAACCAATGCCCATAGAATAAAGCCTGTGCTTCCAGTTGTGAAGTTTGGCTGTAGCAGACCAAACAATGAGGGGGGAGTGTGACCACTGGAGAGGAGGGAAATACAAAGCCCTGGAGGTGAGAGAGCCCTGTGAGACCCTCAGGGCTGCCTCAGGGAAAGGGGATCCCAGGGACCCTCCCCAGGCACCGAGGCCTTTGCAGGCAGCCAGGGCCAGGGGAGGAGATGCCAGGGCCTGCCTGGGCACCAGGAATGTTCCCAGTGGAGGCAGGATTAGGCCTGGCTGTAATCTCTATTTTCAGAGCAGTAAATGCAGAGAGCAGGAGGAAGACTCGGGTTACTGGGATGGCTCAGTGTCTGCAGGGCCTGCAGGGCTTTGTCCCTGGGGAGGGCCAGGTTAACCAGGCTCTCAGAGGTGAGGAGAGCTGTCCCAGCCAGGCCTTTCTGTGCCACAGCCCCTGTTCCATCCTCATCCTGCTCTGAACCTAAAGGTCCCACAGGGAATTGAGAGCAGCAGGTTATTCTTGGCATGGAATTTTTCCTTCAGGCTGCTGCTTTGTGGCAAAGGGCAGCTCCTGTTGTGGCCACACTGTGAGAACCTCCTGGTGACTTTTCCTGCATTAGGGTGGGGGGAATTTAGGAATGTGGGAAGGATGCAAATGAAGGTTTTCTGGGCTGGTGTACCTGTCCCTTTAGGACTGGTAAATGCCTGCTGCATATTTCCAGTTATGCTGAATTTTGGCACTGTTTAATTAAAGGACCTGAAAGGTGTGATAATACACTGAAAGGTGTGATAATACACTGCTTTTACAATCCTGGAGTCACAGTCTCCTTGTGAGATCTGCATCCCAGACAGAATTCAGGTCAAAATATGGAATGTGAAAATAAGTGTGATAACAACACAAGGCATGGCAGAGGGCTCTGTCAGTCCCACTAAAGGGTGTCATTGTCTGTGGTCCTGTAAGGCTGTTCTGTCCATGCTTTTTATTACTAAATTGTAATTTATATATAAATAGATGGAATATGAACAGCTAAACTGTGATCCTGCAAGACTGCTCTGCGTATTTCCTAAAGCTTGAGATTATTTTCCTTTTTAAGTGCTGGTGGTTTATTTACTTCCTTCCCCATGTCTGGCTTTGGCTGTGCACAGTTTGTACCTATGGAGTTTGTGCCAGTCATTTTAAGAACAGCCCAAATCCAAGAGGAAAATCTTGCATTTGCCCTTGGTAGGTGCTGATTTCAGGAAAGAATGGGGCATTCTCTGCAGTGATGCCCTGAGAGGTCCCACTGAGAGCCACAGTTCTTGGGGAACCATTTCTTGCTTATCTTTAGCAGACTCTCTTGAGCCTCTTGAGTTCCACCGTGGGGCTGGTTCATAGAAGAAATAAGCACCTAAATTTAGTACAATTTTATCCCACTGAAAGGACATCTGTGTCCATATGGAATCTGAAAGGAAAACCTTTGGCTGGGCCCAGAAGTGACTGAGGAAGAGAAGCTGTTCTGTCCTTTTCCAGAGTGCCTGTGTGTGCCTATCCAATAATGGAAATGTTTGGAAGACCCTGCAGTGTTGGAAAGTTGAAACCCAAAGGAATATTTGTACTTACTCCTGACAAGCACTGTAGCAAAGGAATAAGCTTCACCATATGGATTCTTCAACTCCACACTGTACTCAGCAGAATCTTCCATGGAGCATCTGAAAAAAAAAAAAAATTTCCCTCCTTCATATTTCACAGGACAAATTCAAAGAGGTTCACCTTTAATCCCAGGGATGTTTGCTTTTCATCCAGGAGCTGCATTTCCTTTCAATTACAAGGATTTCTGGTACTTTGTCATCAATTTTTTCTCTTGAGACCCAGAAGGAAAATATTTTAAGTACTGAAGAAGCAAAAGGCCTGTGGAACACTTGATTGCACTGAAGATTTGCATTTGTCTGTCACTGATAATTCATAGATCAGAACTAATGTTACTCTGGTTACACTGATCCATCCCAAATCACATTTTTTGTCTGTTGATGAAGTGCTTAATGTGCATTCCTTACCCTGAAGGAAAATGTGTTGCTGATACATAAAAAGAGGGCAGAACTAAATTAAGCAATTTAATTTTCTTTGGTTTTGGTTTATTTTTCATAGATTTTTTAAACCTTGTGAACTGCTGTGGAGATTGGCAAAGGCTTAGCTCAAACACAACAGCCTAAAGGCAGGCAAGGTCGGATTCCAGAAGGATTACTGGGATTGTTTATCACACACAGCCTGGGAATTTAGGGCGAGCAGGGCTCACTCAGCTGAAGGAGCAGCTCAGCCAAGGGCACAGCCCTTACCTGCTGATGTGCAGGGTCAGCATCCCAAGGGCACAGCCCTTACCTGCTGATGTGCAGGGTCAGCATCCCAAGGGCACAGCCCTTACCTGCTGATGTGCAGGGTCAGCATCCCAAACTGATTTTTCATCTTGTATTTTCCTGCTGGGGCTCGGCGGGGATCGATGGGGATTCCGTTTTTATACCTGGCGGAAAAGAAGGGAATTGGCTGTGAGGGAAGGACCCACATCAAACAGCACAGGAAAGAGGAGCAGACACAATTCCCTCTTTTACTGATCTCCCTCTTCAATCCAGACCAGTCTGGCAGTGAAACCCAGAGCCCTCCATGGTCCTGTGTGGCTGCTCAGCCCTGGCTTTACATCCCCTGCCCTGCAGCTCCTGTGAGTGAGTTCACAGATGTCTCTTCCTTGTGTTCCCAGGGATGTGTGGGAGGTTCAGATTCTCTTTGCTCTCTGAATAATTCAGGGAGGTCGTTCTGGAAGGACACAGGACACGCAGAGCTCCCACAGTGGCAGAGCTGCTGCCCACGAGTTATTAGTAATGCAAATGTTTGCACACTTGAACCTTCCAGAGGAGGAATGGCCAATCACTTCAAACTGATCAAAATACACTGTGCAAATTGGGCTTTTGAGGTGATCTTTCATTTATTTCTGGTATTTATGGAGTGTGCTGCACTCAGGCCCAGTCCATAACACTCTCCCCTGAGGTTGGTTAATATACAAAGGGAGTAAGTGACAGTTGTGTTGTATTTTACAAACTGTAGAAGCAGCAGCAGTTTAATGCTGACACTCTCATGGTGTCCAAGGCAGCCAGGCCTTGTTGGGGCATTGTTGTGGTGATTTAGTGCTGAGAGGAGGTTCTGCTTTTTGAGACTTAAATCCCAAGTTTGCCTGTGGGAAAAGCAAACAGAGAAACCTCCATCAGCTCTGTCCCAGAAGGATCCCACAGGAATGTCCAGGGAATCCTCCGTGAACACCAGCCCTGTTCCAGAATGAGCCTCGTAGGAGTGTTCAGGAAACAAGGAAACCTCCATGAGCATCAGCCCCGTCCCAGAAAGGTCCCACAGGGATGTCCAGGGAAATCTCCATGGACACCAGCCCTGTCCCAGAAGGATCCCACAGGAATATCCAGGGAATCCTCCACGAACACCAGCCCTGTCCCAGAAGGATCTCACAGGGATGTCCAGGGAAATCTCCATGAGCACCAGCCCTGTCCCAGAAGGATCTCACAGGGATGTCCAGGGAATCCTCCACAAACACCAGCCCTGTCCCAGAAGGATCCCACAGGAATATCCAGGGAATCCTCCACGAGCACCAGCCCTGTCCCAGAAGGATCTCACGGGACTGTCACTGCTCAGGCCCCCATGTCCCTGCTGCTCCAAGCCCTCTGGCCCTTGAGGTGTTTCCTGTGACCCCTGCAGCTCTCCTCCCTCCCTCGTGTGCCAGGGCAGGCTGTGCTGGCAGTGCCATACCAGGTGGCCTGTGGCAGGGGGCTGCCCAGGGCGGTGCATGCCAGGGTGACATCCATGCTCTCCCAGACGGCGTGTGCCCGCAGCGGGATCCAGAGCAGGGGCGCCCGCGCCGCGCGCAGCTCCAGCAGCTCCTTCTGCAGGCAGGCCTTGTGCAGAGCCTGTGCAGGGAGACACTGCTCAGGGCAGGCCAGGCCAGGGCAGGGCAGGGCAGGGCAGGGCAGGGCAGGGCAGGGCAGGGCAGGGCAGGGCAGGGCAGGGCAGGGGGATCTCACACAAACTCTCTGACACCAGGGACCTCGGGCTGTGTTTCAGTGGCAGGGGTGCAAGGCCTTTGGTTGGAGGATTTTGGGGTTGTCCTAACACCTGTTTTGGTGCAGGATCACAGCTTTAGTCCTGTTGGCATCTGGTGCCAGAGTTTGGGGTTGTCCTAACACCTGTTTTGGTGCAGGATCACAGCTTTAGCCCTGTTGGCATCTGGTGCCAGAGTTTGGGGTTGTCCTAACACCTGTTTTGGTGCAGGATCACAGCTTTAGCCCTGTTGGCATCTGGTGCCAGAGTTTGGGGTTGTCCTAACACCTGTTTTGGTGCAGGATCACAGCTTTAGCCCTGCTGGTGCCAGCAGAGGGGTCTGTTCTGACCTTCCTGCGCAGGCCCTTCCTGTCAGCCCTCACTCGGAGCTGCCTGCAGATCCTGATGAGCTCCTCTTCCATCTTCTCCATGTCATTCCCAAAACGAGTCCTCTTCTGCCCCCTCTGTTCCAGCTCCAGGAGCTCAGCTTCCCTTCTCAGGTTGTACTCCCTGGAACTGCATGATGATAAAAGCCAACAGAAATCAAGATAAAACTTTTTTTCTCTTTTTATAGGAGTGTTTTTTTGTTGTTGATAGCACACTTTTTGGTTAAATCAGGAGTGGTAAGGACAAAACCACCGGCTGATGGGAGTGTGGGGAGGAATATCAGGGAATGATCCCCCACAGGAACCAGCACCCCCAGAAGAGGTCAGATTTCCATGGGGACTGTTTGGCCACTTCCAATGCTGGGGAGGAAGCTGGGAAAAGGATCAAAGGAAGGAGAGATGTGGCTGAGATATTCTGGGAAAGAGGGAGAGTCCCATTTGTTACTATTCTTTAATTAAATCTGTCAGTATTTTCCATTTATTCCTTTAAAATCTGGTTTCTCTCACAGCCCTACATGTGAGCAGGGCAATGTTCCTCATTATCACATGGCAGCATCATTTCATTTCCTGCATTTTAGTTGAGGCCTGGTGTTTTTAAAGGAAGAACCTCTGGCTTGAGCCTGCTCTTTTTGCTTCCAGCAGAATAAGTTGGGAGCTGTGCCCCTGGTGCAGAGCTGCAGTGTTGCCCACAGTAGTTATATTGGAGTTACAGCAATTCCTGACTTACTGAGCTCTTTCAGAGGTCAAGGCAAGGGCAGCTGCTATCGACAGGTCTGAAAGGCTGAAGGTCTCCTCTTCCTCACTTCCAGGTGCAGGTTCATGGAAAAGAATCCAGATAATCTTCCATCATTTCACAAACTCAGCATTCTACAAAGCCATGAATGTGTAGAAAGGCCTGTGTGCACCTGATGGACTCAACCTGTCCCTGACTCTGGGACTTACCTGGTTTTAAACCTTTTTTTCGTGGTTGTGGAGCTCATTTCCAAGCTGTGTTTCCTCTCCTCCTTCTGCTCCTCCTCTCTGTGGTGGAAAAAGGCTCTGGTTCCCATGGTGGGATGTCAAAGCCAAACTTTCTTACTGGAATAGATTAAAACATTCAAATCAGACACTTCAACAGAATCTTTTAAAGTCCTGGCTTTGGTGTTCAGGGGCTGTGAGTGAGGTTCATATAAAAATATTTTCTGACATCCATGCTGTGAGAGGGGTTTGCTCCATGCTGCTCCTGTGGAAAGTGGGATCAGGGGGAGGAATGGAGTCTCTCAAGGCAGCTTTTTCTCCTGTTTCTCCTGTTTCTCATCAGGACTCCTGGAATGGTTTGTGTTGGAAGCTAAAGCCCATCTGATGGGCAGGGACAGCTCCCAGCAAACCAGGCTGCTCCAGCAGTTCCAGGTGCTGAGGCAGAGCTCTCCCTCCTGCCCCAGGTACAGATGTGTGATCCCCCTTGGCCAGGCTGCACACAGAGCAGTCCCAGCTCAGCACTCCAAGAGGAAAATGCTTTACCCAGTCCTGTGCATCCTGAGGGAGCACTGAGCGTTTCTGCTGAGCTCTTAGGGAAAGGATGAAAATTCATGGAGCAAACAGCATCCTCCCAAATGTCAGCCTGCAAGGCACGGCTCAGGAGCAGCAGGATTTTCCCAAGGAAAGCTTCCCAAAGAAATCCCAGTGCACAGGGGGAGCACAGGGGCAAACATTGGCACTCCTGGCTCCCCTCCTGTTCCCAGCCTCTGCTCTGGAACCCACAGCTCTCTGCTTTTAGTCTCTGACTAATGGGTGGGCATTAAGGGCAATTTTTAAAGTGGATTCCTCTTCATCTCCCTGTCCCTGCAGTTAAATCCCAACCACCCAGCAGGATCCTGGCCCTGGCACGTTCACAGGCTCTAAAAGCTCAGGTTACTTTGGAAAAGCAGCTTTGCAAATGTAATTGTTGCTGAATAGAATTTGTTCAAGCATAGCTGTAAATCTTTCCCTAGCTCGTGTTCCATGACTGAAATTTTCCCTTGGCAAATTTTCCACCTGGATTTGAGCTTTGCTGCTTTCAAATCTGAAGCTGATAAAAATACAGACCCTCAGCTTTTCCCAGTATAATCTTCTTGTACAGTTTTTTTACTTGTACAGGCTTCTGTTGATGTAAATAAATTTCTTATAAACAGTCCGTGGAAAAGCAGGGTTGTTGTGGTAAATGCAAAATATCCCAACATGCAAATGAAAATACAGAATTATCTTGATAATGTTTGCTTTGTGGGCGCTAAGTTTGGAAGAAACAACAAATGCTGACAAGTAAAAGAAGAAAATGAAGCAGGCTTTTATGAGAAAAAAAAAATTATAATTTCATAGTTTCTGCTGTCTTCAGAAGTGATTCAGCTGCAGAATGAGTCCTGTCTGCCTGGGCATCAGAGCCTTGTTTCCATGCTCATGAATAATTACTGATACAGATTCATTTTTACTAAATAATGGGTTTTATTTTTCCCTGAACAAATTTCATTGTTTAATAATCACTATTAAAACCTACACTTTTCAATTCAAATGCAGATTATTTTCTAAACATGCCAGTAAAGCAGAGCAGAGTCTGGTGAGAAAACATGAAGCAAACCAGGATTTTCATAACACCACTGGAAAAACAATCATTAAAGCAGATACAATCACAAAGCACAATCCACTTCTGCAGTGCAAAGCTGTCACAAAAACAACTGATGCTGCTCTGGAGATCCTACAAAATGCAGCATAAACAGCAATTTATTGGCAGATAAACCCAACTCACCGGTGAAGGCTGAGGGAGAGCCCCTGTCCCCAGGCAAGGCAAGGCACAAAGGAGGTTTCCTTGTCCTGCTGGTGCCTCGAGGATGACTGTCCCCAGAGGAATGCTGCCCATGCTGGAGTGCCCACCCTGCAGTCAAATATAGCCCTGCCAGCCCTCCCTGGACAATGGGGATGGCCCAGCTGGGGACACTCACTGCCCCTGCAGTGCCCACCCAGTGCCCACTGCCCAGTCCCTGCCCTGGGACAGGTGCCTGAGAATCCACAGCACTGCCCTGTGCTCTGCTCCTTTGGGATCCAGCTCACAGAGCATCTGAACTGGATTTGGGATATTTTAACCCTGTCCAGGAATGGCCCTTGGGGTAGCCTTGCCATTGCTGCCTGACAGAGGGAAGGCATTTGCTTTGACATCTCTTAGGGAATGCCAGCTCCAGGCCAATCCTGGCAGTGTCTGATTGCAGCTCCAGCAGCTCAGCTTTTGGTGGGCTGGCACTGTTTTATTTCCTTTTTCCAGCAAACAAAGGCTTGGTGCCTCAGGGCAGGGGAGCTTTGTGTATCCAGCAGCCCGTGGTGGTGTCTGAGAGTTTGGGGCAGGGGCAGATTGCAGAGATTGCTGATTTTCCATTTATTTGAGGTGCTCCTGCAGTTCCAGAATTCAGGGAAAACCCTTCCCAGCAACGTGAGGAGCAGGTGATGTTTCTTGAGGTGTGGGAATGAATTCCACCATCAAATCTGGCACAGCACCAGTAGGAGCCATTTCTAGGAACCTTGTTTGCTTCACCATCCAAACAAAGGTGAAACCCAGCAGGATCAGCACCACACTTCAGCTGTGAAGTCCATTTGGGGGCTGAGTTTGTGACATTCCTAGGAGAGAGTAAACAGGAGGGATGGGCTGGCATGCCTGAGGCACTTTGGGGTGAGCTGAGCTGTCAAAGGGAAGGAGCACTCCCTTTTCGTTGGTTTTGAATCCATGGCCACTCCAGTGCTTCCCTGAATTTTGCATTATGAGAAGTAATGTGTCATTACAATCTATTCTGCTTAAAATCAACAATTTCTTTCATTTTGTCACATCAACCCTCTGTTACAAAATTTGTTTAATTTAGAGGGGCGGGCACTGATCTTTGGTCACTGTGAGCAGGGACAGGACTGAGGGAATGCCTGGAGCTGGCTCAGGGGGGTTTAGGTTGGATTTAGGGCAAGGTTCTGCCCCAGAGGGTGCTGGCACTGCCCAGGCTGCCCAGGGAATGGGCACAGCCCGAGGCTGCCAGAGCTCCAGGAGTGTTTGGACAATGCTCTAAGCACAAGTGGGGTTGTTGGGGTGTCTGTGCAGGGCCAGGAGCTGAATTTAATCATCCCTGTGGTCCCTTCCAGCTCAGGATATTCTGAGATTCTGAGAGCTCTCCTTCATTCTGGCTCCAGAACCTGGAGCTTTCCTTTTGTCCCTTGTGTAAGATTTTCCTCCTAGAACTTGTTAAAAACTCACCAGTGATTTTTCATGGTGTTCCAACACCCTCCAGTGCCAAAAGAAAGGAACAAAAGGGAGGGGGAATGGGATCCTTGGCTTGCAGAGTGCTCAGGCCTGGGCAGGGGGAGGGAGTGAGCAGCGCCAGCTCCCCGATTTAGCGGGGAAGACAAAGAGCAGAGCTCTGCTCTAGGGTTACAGCTGCCACCTGCTGCTCTGCCGGCCTTGTGACAACGGAGCTGCGGCGCTCACCTGTCACCGCTGGGACATGGGCAGGGACACGCACTCCCTGAGCCAAGGGCAGCTTTTATTGCCCAGTGTGGGATCTTTAGCTGCTCACAGTGACCCCGAGAAAAGTTCCAAAGTCTCTTTTCCCAGCCTGGTGCTTGAAGAAGGAGTCAGAGCTCTTCATTTCTCGCTCTCAAGGTTGTTTATTGTTTCTTATCTATAAAGTTCTTTCTCCTGCCCTGCCGAGGTCCATCCAGCAGGACAGTTCCAGGCACTGTGCCTGCCCTGGGGCAGGGTTATGTCTTTATTCTAAAAACTACATCTACAATGTTTACAATTACCTTCCAATACCTATCACCCATGTTAGACACTGAGCTTCTACTCTAAACCAATCTGTCAGTGCCACCATCACAGCAGAAGATGGAGGCCAAGAAGAAGAAGAAAAAGAAGGAGAAAGGCTGGACCTGCCCAGTTCCCTCCATCTTGCCCCCTGAACCCCCATACCAAAAACCCCAAATCTACTTTTCCACCCCATGATAACTTCACTATCATTCTACTTAATTTGTCATGGCTTGCAGATCTTCATCTAAGGTTGGTAATTTGCTCCACAGGTCATAATCAAACCCACAGGGGCATTCTGGGCTCTGTGCCAGGGTCTCTGAGCCCCCTGCAGGGGTCTGGGCCATGCTGGGCAGCCAGAGGGATGTGCTGGGTTCCCACAGCCCAGAGCTCAGAGCTGCATTCAGAGAATGGCTGAAGAGGAGAGCACTGCTGGGCACACGTGGCTTGCATGGGGAGACCTTTGGAGCAATGTTGAAATCCTGCTGTTTGTCTGGAAATGTTCCTACCCAGGAGGAGATGGAGAAAAGGAGGTTCTGGAGCAGCTGTTTGACACAAATGGATCTGTTTGGTTCTGAGCAGGGTGACCGTGTTCACAGGGTCTGAGGATGAGGGAAGAGATGAGGATCTGACTCCATGGTTCAGAAGGCTGATTTATTATTTTATGGTATATATTATATTGAAACTATACTAAAAGAAGAGAAGACAGGATTTCATCAGAAGGCTGGCTAAGAATAGAAAAGGAAAGAATGATAACAAAGGTTTGTGTCTGACTGAGACAGTCTGGACATCTGGGCTGTGATTGGCCATGAATTAGAAACAACCACATGAGCCCAATCCCAGATGCACCTGTTGCATCCCACAGCAGCAGATAACCATTGGGTACATTTTGTTCCTGAGGCCTCTCAGCTTCTCAGGAGGAAGAATCCCAAGGAAAGGATTTTTCAGAAGATGGCAGTGAGGTCAGCAGGGATGACGTGTTCCTTGCTCCAATACAATTCAACAGCATCAACATTTCTTTCCAAGCTTTTCCAAAGAGAAGCAGCATGAGAAGGGATGATCTGTGTGTTAAATTTAGGAGGTGACTCATGAGACAAGAATCAATTTCCCTCAGCTCAGAACATCCAGGCCTCAAAAATCAATATTGACTAAGGCATGACGAAAGCAGGAAGTTGGGGATATTGCAGCAGGACAGGGCTCTCCTGCCTGTGATCTCTGGGCAGTGGAGCTGCTGGGAGGATGGGCTGGGGCTGCAATCATTCCTGC